GAGAGAGAGAGAGGGAGAGGGAAAGGCTCAGGAGTCGTGAGGTGGACTGGAGGTTCCTGTTCGGACTGGAGTTTCCGATTGGCCCGGGAGGATCGGATGGCTGAGGATATTTTTCGAGGAGACAGGGAGACTATGCCGAACTGCCGGTTTCCCCCGTGTATGCACATGGTCGTGAGTACGGGTTTGATTCTCTGTTTTCCCATTTTTCCTTAATATTTCCGAGAAATGGTCCTCCCAACGGTGAGCCTACACTTTTCATTTATTTCCCCCCATAGAGTTGAATTGCATTAATTACCGTTGTATTATTCTTTATTTGGAGTCCGTCGAGACGACTAGCTTCTCCCTTTTGTTCTCCACTATAGAATCGTCCCTATTATTCTTAGATGTATTCGACAAGCAGCCTGGCCTTACCCATTCCCCTAGAGAAACTTTAAAAGGCATTTATTATTGTGAATATTTTGTATAAAATTCATAGAAATATAGAGTCTCGTGTCCATTTTACATTGCATCTAATTGACTAAATCCCCTTTATTTCTCATGGTATATAATAAGATCTGATTAAATAATCATTTGACAGTCACAGGTAATTATTCCGGACAACATTTTAATAAGATTTATACAATCCCCGGTTGCAGTACATTCAAAATTTTTCACTACTTATAAGTGACTGGGGAAGTGCCTTAATGAAAAAAGAAGGAACATGAGAGAAAAATACTTGGAAAATTAATGTCAATAAATTCCCATAGAGAATGTCTCAATAGGAAAAGTCGTATAGAAAGATGGAATTGTACTGATTTTTCTCCATGAAAAACCGCAGAATTTCTACAGAAATTGTGTCAATAGAATAATCTTATGGAAAAATTGAAATGTATTAGGTAGTTCTTTCCTTTCTTCCAATTAATTTGATTGTGCAAACTCACCGACATCGCGGTTCACCATTTATCAATATTGCAATGACTATTCTTCGTCGCACCGTCATATGTATAATATTGACGATCACCAGTCGATTCTGGCTCTCGAAGATGAGA